TCATGATCCCAGGGTCCTGGTATCGAGCCCCGCATCGGGCTCCCTGCTCTGCGGGAAGCCTGCTTCTCCCTCCTCTCCCACTCCCCCTGCTTGTGTTCCCTCTCTCGCTGTGTCTCTCTGTCAAATAAATAAATTAAAATCTTAAAAAAAAAAAAAGATAACCCTTCCCAGCACAAAGTCATAAAGATATTTTCATATTATCGTTTTTTTTTCTTTTTTTCTTTTTTTAAATAGGCTCCACGCCCAGCTCAGAGTCCAACTCTGGGTTCGAACTCATAACTGTGAGATCCAGACCTGAGCTGAGACAGAGTCAGACACTGAGCTGACTGAGCCAACCAGGCGCCCCTATTTTCATATTATCTTATTACAACCTTTATAGTTTTACTTCCATGTGTTGTTTAGGTTTCTAATCTACTTTGCAATAAATGTTAATGTTGTGAATCAGGTGCCTAATTTCATTTTTTTCTTCATACAGATAAATAAAAGTCTCAGAACGTTATGAATTGAAAAATCTGTCCTTGCTGTGTGCTCTGCAGTGCCTATGTAATACATAAATGTCCACATGTGCATGAGTCTGTTTTTGAGCTCTTGTATCTTTTCCATAGTGCCTTAATTCCTATAACTTTACAATAAATCTTGATACTGGTAGAGTATATGTAAGAATGCCTTACATATTCTTGGCCCTTTATATTTCCATATCAGTTTTAGAATCAGCTTATCAGGTTCCATAGATTTTGGTTGGGATTAAATTGAATCTGTGAATCACTTTGCAGAGAATTAATATCTTTACATTACTGAACTTCAAATCCATGATCATGATGTATATCTTCATTCATTTGCATCTCTTTAAAGTCACTTAATAACGTTTTGTAATTTTCTTTAAAGAGGTCTTGCATAGTTTTTGTTCAGTTCCAGTGTACTCAACATTTTAAAAAAATTTTATTTATTTATTGAGTGCTAGTCTGGGGAAGATTTGGCGGCGGGGGTGGTGGTGGAGAGGGAGCATCTCAAGCAGACTCCACACTGAACGCGGAGCCTGACGCAGGGCTTGTTCTCACAACTCTGAGATCATGAGCTGAGCTGAAATCAAATGTCCGATGGTGTCTTTGGTGCCCCTTGACATTTTTTATTCAACTGGAAACGGTGTTCTTTTTCGTTGTTTAGCTTTATATTGTTTGTATATGGAAATGTGATTACTTTTTATGTGCTGATGCTATATGTAGCAACCTTTTTATTGATTATCATTTATAGATTCTTTTGAGTTTTATGCACATGTAGGCATAGTATTTGCAAATGACAGCTTTTTTTTCTTTTCTAATTCCTATACCTTTTAATTTTTTTTTTTTTAAAGATTTTATTTAATCATTTGACAGAGAGACAGCGAGAGAGGGAACATAAGCAGGGGGAGTGGGAGAGGGAGAAGCAGGCTTCCCGCCGAGCAGGGAGCCCGATGCGGGGCTTGATCCCAGGACTCTGGGATCACGACCCGAGCTGAAGGCAGACGCTTAATGACTGAGCCACCCAGGTGCCCCTCTTTTTCTTATTTTACTATACCAGCTAGTGTTCAGTAGAACTGGTAACATCAGACATTCTTTTGTTCTTCATCTCAGAGAGACCAATTTCATGTCATTTGCATAGGATTTTTTAGAAGCACCCTTTAACAGATTATAAAAATGTCCTTCTAGTCTTAATTTTCTAAGAGGTTTTGTTTGCTTTTTAATCATAAGTAAATGTTGAATTTTGTCAAGTACTTGTCCTGTATCTTTTTAAATGGTCACAAGAACTTTTCTTTTAATCTGTTAATGTAGCATATTTCACTGATTAAACTTTTTAGAGTTAAAAACCACCTTGCATTCCTGAGATAGACCAAACTTGCTATTTGCATCTTTGCTCATAAATGAGAGTGGCTTGTAATTTTCCTTTCTTGTATCATCCTTTCCAAGTTTTAGTATCAGGCTATGCTATCCTAAAATGAGTTAGGGAGTAAGTCTTTTTGTTCTATTCTCTGGTGCAAGTTTTATATAGTATTAGAATTACTTCTTGAGTGTATCTGGGACTGGGATATTTGTGTGTGTTGGGGGGACAATTTTAAAAATTACGAAGTAACAGTTACAAGAGTATTCAGATACTCTATTTCTTTGTGATTCAGGTTTGCCTATCTTATCTATATTTTCTAGTCTCTTAGCATAAAATTGTTCATAATACTCTTTTTACCTTTAATGTCTATAGAATCTGTAGTTCTGTACTTTTTTTCATTCCCAGTATTGGTTATTCATATCTTATCTCTTCAGTTTGCTAGAGAGGTTTGCCAATTTTGTGTTTTCAAAGAATTTTTGGCTTTGGTGCTCTGTTGCATGGTTTGTTTTCTATGTCATCAGTTCTGCTTTTTTATTCGTTCTATGTTTTTAAGGTTTATTTTGCTGTTCTTTTTGTAACTTCTTCAGGTAAATGTTTATTAGCTTACTGATTTCAGCCTTTTTTTCTAATACATGCATTTAAAGCTGTACATTTCTGTTTGTAAGTTCTGCATCCCACAGTTTTGGTATGCAGCATTTTTACTAGTGCTCATTTCTAGGTAATTTTCAGTGTTTCATTATGATGTATCTGTTGACTCATGGGTTATTTAGCAGTTTATTTCTTAATTTCTAAATACGTGAAGATTTTCCATTTAACTTTTTGTCATTAATTTCTGTCTTAATTGAACTGTGGCCAGAGAGTTCTGGATTTCAGACCTTCAAAATTTGACTGTGGCCCAGTGTATGGTTGCTTGTTATGAATGGTCCATATATGCTGGAAAGTATGTGTTCTTTAGATGTTGGGTATATTATTCCATAAATGTCCACTAGGCCATGTTTTTTATTTTTTATTATTTTTATTTTTTTAAGATTTATTTATTTATTTGAGAGAGAGAGGGAGAGAGAGTGCATGTGAGTTGGGGGAGGGGCAGAGGGAACAAATCTTCAAGCTGACTCTCCCCTGAGTGTGGAGCTCAGTGGTGGGCTGGAGCCCAACACGGGGCTCAATCCCACAAACCATGTGATCATGACCTAAGCTCTGAAACCAAGAGTCGGACGCTCAACCGACTGAGCCACCCACGTGTCTCTAGGCCATGTTTTTTAATCCTGAAGTTCGAAACGTGTGTATTTCATAGATTTTTGTTTTACCTGCTTATTCTGTCAGATACTGAGAGAGTTGTTAAAATCTTCTGCTACAGTTGTTCCTGTTGTATCCTCCTGGGAAATTGAAATTTTTTTTTTTTTTGGGAAATTGAAATTTTTAAACTGAGTATGTGTATCTCATATTTTTTACTGTAGATTTTCTGTTGCGGGGTGCCTGGGTGGCTCAGTCGTTAAGCCTCTGCCTTCGGCTCAGGTCATTATCCCAGGGTCCTGGGATCGAGCCCCGCGTCGGGCTGCCCGCTCGGCAGGGAGCCTGCTTCTCCTCTCCCACTCCCCCTGCTTGTGTTCCCTCTGTCTCTCTGTCTCTCTCTGTCAAATAAATAAATAAATAAATCTTTAAAAAAAATAGATTTTCTGTTGCTTAATATAGCTGTACTTTTTTTTTTTTTTTTTTTACTATTTGCCCATCCTATTACTTTCAGTCTTTCTGTGTCCTTGTTTTATGTGTGTCTCTTATAACCAGTGAATTGTAGTGTTTATTAAGTCCAACCAGGTAATCTGTATCTTTTAACTGGGGCAGGTTAATCAATTTGCATATGATATAATTACAGTACTTATATATTTGAATTTATACCTCCATTTTATTTTAGTCTTTCCATTTCTTTTTCTCTTTTTTTCCCCTCCTTTTTTTGAATTGATTTTTAAAATAAATTCTTTGTCCTCACCCTGGTAATAGTATGGAAGTTACACTTTCTATTTCCCTTTTTTCAGTTGTCTCCTGAGAGATTCTAGTAGGCATTCTTACTACAGAAGCCCAGTGTTAATCATCACCTTTCCTCTCCTTCCAGGATCAGTGCATTAGGACCTTGTAACTCCATTTGTTCTCTTCAGTTTAGTGCTTTATGTATCTTTAAATCTCACATGACATTATTTCATGTAGGGAATATCCATGTAAATTTACCCATATATTTATTTATTTTTTTTTAAGCTTTTCACTTTTTTCTTGCATCACACCTCTCTGTGATAATCTTTTTGCCAGCAGTATGTCCCTTGCATTTCCTTTATTGTGGGCTAGCTGGACGTGAACTCTCAGTTTTTGGTTGACTACAAATACTTCTCCCCTTGCCTTCTTGAAACATACTTTAACTGAATACTGATGCTAGGTTAATAGAATGCTAAGATAGAGGATAGGAGTGGGAAGGAGGGGAGAGAGAGAGAGCATGAGTGAGCGGGGCAGAGAGAATCTCAAGCAGACTCCATGCTGAGTGTGGAGCCTAATGTGGGGCTTGCCTGGAGGCTTGATGTGGGACTCTTCTCAGGGCTTGATCTCATGACCCCAAGATCATGACCCTGAGATCTTGATCTGAGCCAGAACTAAGAGTTGGATGCTTAACTGACTGCACCACCCAGGTGCCCCTGGTGTCTCAGAATTCTAAAGACACTAATCCTGTTGTATCAAGGCCCCACCTTTATGACCTCATTCAATGTTAATTACTTCCTTAGAGGCCCTATCTCCAAATATAGCCACACTGATGGGGTTACAGCTTCAACATGTGAATTTGGGGGGGGTGCAAACAATGAGTCCACATACTAGGTGGCATTTACATAATGGTTGAGGGTCTTATGGCTTATAATTATATTACTTCTGATGTCTCTACTGTTGATAATAGTGAATCACTTTCCATGTATTTGGGTATATTCTCCCCCATAATTATTTAGCAAGTGTATAGGGAAGAGAATAAAATTTATCTTTGCATATGTTTCTGTAATCTACAGAATTTGTTGGTGAGGTTGTTGTACACTTCCCAGCTAAATTCTAACCATCTATTGTAGTTTAGTAAAGATTTTCAACTTATTTACATATTGACTTTGTTTTTCTTCATCGTAGCTGTGTTGGTGTAGAAGAACATCATGCTGTTGACATTGACCTTTATCACTGTCCCAACTGTGCAGTTCTACATGGTTCCTCCTTGAGTAAGTATTAGAAACTTAAATAAAAACCGAAGTTTAGAATTCAATGTGTACATGACAATATTTTAATAATAACTGACTAGTTATGTTACACCCACCAGGAACTATAGGGAATATTTTTCTGAAGATACTGAGAATACAGTTTCTGTCTGAATTATTGAATAACATTTAATAAGTCAAGAAGATAAAATGAAAAAAATACTGTTTTTTTTTTCCCTTTAAAGATTTATCTATCTATTTTAGAGAGAGAGTGGGAGAAAAAGCGAGTGTGTGTGAGTGGTGGGGGACAGAGGAGAGGGAGAGGAAGAGAATCTCAAGCAGACTCCCCACTGAGCACGGACCCTGACATGGGGCTTGATCCCATGACCCTTGATCACGACCTGAGCCGAAATCAAAAGTTAGATGTTTAACCGCTTAACCCAGGTGCCCCCCAAATACTATAACTTTTAATTGCCAGTGCAAAGCCCCCAAACTTAAGGACATATATTCAAAGTTTCAATTTGAGAAGTGTGGAAAAGTAAAATATTCTGATTCTGGAAACTGATTTAAAATGTTTTTATCTTTTTATAAATTAAAAAAACCTTTCAGTAATATTTGGGACAGTGTACAGGATAAGACTTTAATGCACACACATGCATTATATTTTTAGGGGGAAATTCGGGTATCAATATGCTGAAATGTTATTCTGTTTTCTGAATTTGGTCATCAGTTTGAGTATGGCGTAGAGTCCTGCCCAGTTTGAAACCACACCCCTGTCCCAGTCCCATTCTGAGGAAGGCAGAGGCCAGAGCAAGTGTCTGCCTACACTCTTCTGTCTGAGGGCAGGGTGCAGGCCAGGAAGTTCATGTGCCCTCTGGGGTGTACCAATATCACACATAAAATGATATTTATCCCTAGCCTTTTACAGATGCTTCAGAAGAATAGATTGGAGTGTTAATTGTGCAGAAAGAAAGTAGAGATAACGTTTAAAAAAGCTTTGAAGGATGTTGTAACTTTCTTTTTAAAAAAAATTTAGACTGCAAGCTAGCATTTTTGTGTTCATTAAAACTAAAGGGAAAAACTATAGATTTAGTCATAGGAATTTTTTCCTGAACATACTTTGATACACATTTGGGTGAGATGTAGGTGACCTATACAACCTCTTTTATTTTATTATCATTAAAAAAATTTTTTTTTTGAGAGGAAGAGAGAGGGCGCCTGGGTGGCTCAGTTGGTTAAGCGACTGCCTTCGGCTCAGGTCATGATCCTGGAGTCCCGG